GTTTTCTTGAGTGTTTCCGAATGAACGCAGAATTTAGTTATTGAACATTCGGAAACATTTTCGAATAGTCTTGGAGAGTCGAAAAAATTACCAATTGTTGCAGAAAAAATGGCGAAAATTCATTCTGCGAAAATTGAAATTTATTCCTCCATTTGTTCTCCAGGGAGTTTCAAAATTCATCTTTTCTTTAAATTTTTTATTGAATGTTTAATTAATTATTTATGGCTTAGCATTCGCTTCGAAAGTTTTAGTCTTCTTCGCTATAAGGAAATATTCTCTGAATCCTAAAAGAACAAAGAAAGTCAATTCCATTTCTTCGAAAACATAAGTTTGATGTTTTGATATCCAGGGTAACCTGGTCTAGGAGTACGCACTTAAGGTTTGAAATTGAAGGTCTAAAAAAATAAAAATGAACTGTAGTATATCAACTAGGCATTTATTACTTCTACAATTTAAACATCTCTCATTAAGTAACACAAAGAAAACAAAATTATGCTTTTTCTCTCAAAATTATAAAAATACTCAGAAATGGGAATTGCGTACTCTTACTTGTAACGGGTGTTTTTTAGAGGTATAGAGTTTTAAGTTGGCATTACTGTTGAAAATGGCAAGTGACTCGTTCTCAGTTTGCTTTGCCAATTCATCATGAATAGACTGACGCTTGAACAACCCTTGCAAATAGTGCAATTTCATTTCTAAAATAATGGTTCTGTGCGGAATACGTATCGCGCACTACGTCCATTTTATCTTCGACAAATCGTTCATCAGAGCAGGTAATTCGAGTAACCATGGAACGTTTTTGCACCACTTTTACTCTCATTGATAACTCGCATCCCCAGAGACGCCGAACAGAAGAAACTAATGCTACAGTAGAGCGCAGCATTGAAGAAGACCCGAATGAGACCATTCGCCATCGAGCAAGGGAATTGGATATGTGTCCATCCACTTTATGGAAGATTTTGCGGAAGGATCTTGGTTTGCGTGCTTACAAAGTCCAACTCGTGCACGGATTGAAGCCAAACGATCATCAAGCAAGGCGTAGATTTGCCGAATGGACCCAAAACGAGATTGCCATTATTCCCGATTGTTGACTTAGCCATTCTGGTTGAATGGCTACGTCAACAAACAAAACTGTCGCATTTGGGGTGAAGATTCAAGTGTATGTCAAAACACCGTTACATCCAGAAAAATTTACTGTTTGGTGCGCTTCATGGGCTGGTGGAATCATTCATCCGTACTTCTTCAGAAACGATGATAGCCAGAATGTTACAGTAAAAGGTGATCGGTATAGAGCTATGAATACTAACTTTTTCATTCCTGAATTGATGAACATCCATGATGTCCAGGAGCTGTGGTTTCAACAAGATGGCGCAACATGTCACATAGCTCGTGCCACAATCGATTTATTGAAAGACACGTTTGGTGATCGCCTAATTTCACATTTCAGACCTATGAATTGGCCTCCAAGATCTTAGATCTTGTGATTTAACACCGCTAGACTTCTTTCTGTGCGGCATGTAATGTCATTGGTCTATGCGAATAAGCCACGAACGCTTGACCATTTGGAAGACAATATTCGCCGTGTTATTGCCGATATACGGCCACAAATGTTGGGAAAAGTCATCGAAAATTGGACGTCCAGGTTGGACTACATCCGAGCCAGCCGTGGCGGTCATATGCCAGAAATCATAATCAAAATGTAATGCCACAAGATTATCTTCCGAATAAAGAAAAATTCTTGTCAATGGAATGATCCATCGTTGTTTTATTGCAATTTAAAGTTCTATTTAAAAAAACCTTTTCCATGCCCATCTATCAGCTCACATTTTCAGTGAAATAGATGAGCTGATAGTTGCCAAATACAACTTCATCACTGGCAGAAGTGTTTTCACAAGACTTAAAAACAAAATACCTTCATCTTTAACATCAGACTGCATCTACAGTGTTCCTTGCTTAGATTGTAAAGTAGTTTATATAGGTCAAACGTCGCAGACCATTAAAAGAAGAATAACTCTTCATAAGAGCAATGTTAGACTTCGCCCTGACAGATGTGCCTTAGCACTACATTCCTCATAACAGGGACATCGTTTTCACTTCGACAATGTGGGAATACTGGATCTAGCTGTTAGTTACCAGAAAAGGATTTTTTTTGGAAATGGTCCACATTAATAATAACTCCAATATCAATAAGAAGACGGACGTTTCCAGACTTAGTTGCATTTATAGTTCTCAAATCATTTCAAGTAACCTTCGCAACTTTGCAGACATCTCACATCTTTAATCGACTTTTTATGTGTTACGTGTGTAATATGACATTTGTTACTACGGTGATTTTACTCTCTCGCCTCTGTGTCGGTTTTCATTGTCAATGTCTCTCTGTGCTCCTGTCATTTTTATTCAATTAATCACCTATCATTGTTTTTAGTTAGTACATAAGAATATTTTTATATCTATAATTTAATTCAGCTTATTTTTAAGAAACTTTTTTGTTTAATGGTTTTTTGCCATACCTTTTATACCTAGTAAGCCGTAAGTTGTAAATCATAATTTTTTTCAGTATAATTGTATAAACATCTTTTCAGAGTCCTGATGAAGACTGTAAACACAGTCGAAATATAGACCAGGCAGACAAATAGGATAAAATCTATTCATAGTGGCCTCTTATTTTGCCTATAACCCACAACAATTGTATATATATATATATATATATATATATATATATATATATATATATATATATATATATATATATATATATATATATATATATATATATATATATATATACATATGCGCGATTCTCGACATTATTCATCAGATTACAATGAATTCGAGAGTAGAAAAAAATGTATCGCCTATTCATATTGATTTCTATTTTACGCGATGCTTACCATATTTCCATATATGCGCGGAAATATGAACAAAAAAGAGGCTTACGTTATCTATACAAAGCAGCTCAGCGAGTGAAGAGTTATACGCGGTTACGTCATATCTACATCAGCCCCTATTTCGAAAGATCTGCAACATACAATCAGCTTCAAATATTTGCGCCACATGCGTGGTTTTTGGCGGAAGTGGAACGCATAAAAACCCCCATATCGTCAAACAGTGTGAGTGTGTTCGCATTCCAGATGTACTTCGTACGAATTTGTAGGTTTTAATGTTTACCCCGTTGACGGAAGAACAGAATGAACACAATTGACTGTGTTTGAGTTTTAAACATGGAATGTAGAATCAACAAATGTCACAGAAAAGCTCAGTCGAGCCGTATTTATTTGACAGATTTGCTTTGATGTCTGCTATATTTCGTATCCTATGTGGCATAATGGTTGGTACATTTGATGAAGGGAGATTATTATTCGATTACAATCCAGTAGTGTACCAGGAGACTGTATTTTAGGGATTAAACTTCGTTACAGGACGGCTTTGAAGCTTCTTTAGAGCTCGCTTGGTCTCACTGACGTGAATGTCATGTTGATCGTGATATAGTGAATCGAAATCAAACTGTTGAAGGATTGTGTGTGACGACAAAGTGAAAATCGAAGATGAATTCGACTCTTTCATGATATACAGTTTTTCTGAAAATTAATGGAAAATTTATTATATTTTAAAATAAATTTCTAACAAAGAGAGCTTTGTATAAATGGACATGCTGGAGATATCGTATTTTGATATTTCAAATAAATATTCCTTACAGAATAACATACTGAAAAATGTAGCTGTAACTATATAAAGTAGCTACGAGAAGCTACTAGTGAAAACAAAATTCAGGATCATATTTCAGAATGAATGAAAAACAATGTCGAATTGATCATAAATTGACAAAACCTTAATCAAAGGGAATGAGTACATAACATAGGACAACGAATACGTTTGAACGGAAAAATGGAAGACTCAGTTTGATACAATACTCTTTTATTATGAGTAATTCAGTATTTATTTTATTATTTAGTATGAGTATGAAAATTTGGCTGTTTTCAGATAAAACATTTATGGCTTCCTTTTGCAAAATGAAATATTTTCATATTTCACTGATAACTCCAAAGAACAAAAATTATTAGAATTCTCACGAATTGATGTTATTGAAAGATTTTGACATTTTCGTTCTCATTTATAGAATTGATTGTTTTGTAGTGACAAATTTCTCGTTACTTTTCTTTATCACTTTCTCAAACCGCCTACGACATTTGTTTTCAACTGTTTAATATTTCTCTCTCTTTATATATAAATATATATATATATATATATATATATATATATATATATATATATATATATATATATATATATATATATATATATATATATATATATATATATATATATATATATATATATATATATATATATATATTGTCATTCCCGAAAGATGAATGACAATACAAATTTTATGTTTTATATATATATATATATATATATATATATATATATATATATATATATATATATATATATATATATATATATATATATATATATATTATACTGCATTAAACTGTTTAACAGTTTACTAATACCTAAAACATACCAATACAAAAGTCGTATTGTCATTCATCTTTCGGGAATTCACTTCATCGTTTTTTGTGCAGCTTGAGCCATACAATCTTGAAGAATTTTATGATTCATGCAGTCAATTTTTGAAATTTTTTCTTTTCTTGTATTGTTTTCGAATGACCTGTTTTCCTTTCTACTTTGTATATTTGGAAAATCAATAAATTATTATTATTATATATATATATATATATATATATATATATATATATATATATATATATATATATATATATATTTATATATATATATATATATATATATATATATATATATATATATATATATATATATATATATATATATATATATATATATATATATATATATATATATATATATATATATATATATATATATATATATATATATATATATATATATATATATATATATGAATTAGTATTTATATGTAAATTTGGAATCGAAATTACACCACAAAAGTTTTCAACCTCGACTGGGATACGAACCCAGGTCTCTCAGGTTTACGCCCCGTTGTTTTAACAACTAAGCTACCGAGGTTTACACTTCGCGATGCAATTTCGACTATATCTAATTAGTCTTTGTTCGCAATTATTATTATCATTACTATTATTATAATTTTGACAAAGTTGTGATATACAACGAAACTCTATTTAACTATAATTTTTCACGAAAATATCCAATTGTTCAATATTTTGCTTTTGAAATATGCATATCCAAAAAAACTTATATAGTTGAAATATGACAATGTGTTTCATTTGTTGAATTTATATCGTTATTTTTGATTGATTTTTGAGGGTTGTTTTTTTGTAGGAGTTCAATTCGATAAATTTATTCTATTGCGAATGCTTGATCGACAAACTTGATTAAACTGTTCCCATTCTAAATATTTTGATCAATTTTAAGGGTAGTTTTTTTGTAGTTCAATTCGATAAATTTATTCCATTTCGAATGCTTGATCGACAAACATGACTAAACTGACCCCATTTCAAATATTTCATGTTGCAGCTGTGAAAGAATCATAAAAAAAATATCACTAAATTTCAAAGAATAAAAAACCTTCAATTGGAAAGATTTCAATAAATGCCGCTTTAAAACACAAAATCAGCTAAAATGAATAATTGTAGGTAATATAAACATTTCAAAAATTGAGAAGGCTGAGAAACTCGGAGAAATTTCAAGAATGAACGTAAAATAACGTAACAATTTGAAAAGTACTCTAAATTGCAAAAATATATTAAACAATAAGATCCAATTTATCATCAATATTGTTATCAAATTATCATTTTTAATCAATGGAGTAATCAAATTCGCCATAATAACATGAAAACTACCCAAAAATATTATTGATTCAATATTCGAATTCCTTTCCAAATTACTGAATATTATGATGAAATTTTTCAATGAAAAATTTATCTGCAAGTTTCAAAATAATTTCATGAAGAAATGTTTTTTCATCAGCAAGGAAATATTCGTTGTGAGACTTTTTTTTTCGTTTTAGCTCAAAATATAAAATATCTTTCGTAATTACATGTACTTTTTTTGTAGCTCCAGAATATTTCAAAGGAATTCAGAATAGAGATTCTATTCAATTTCAAATTTCTGGTGACACAATCTTTGCCGATATTCCGGTCTCCTGATGAGCTTGGTTGGCTTCAGAAACACTATACATTATGCATGAATGTAGTGGGACCTTACTATCTGCTTTTGTGCGTCTTTGAAGTGCTGTAGACCTATGCATATTTCAGAGATGACCATTAGGGCAGATATAAAACTTCCTGCGAAAAAATTCCATAGAGTCGGAGACATTTCAGACCATGCATATTATTCACAAAGCACACCAGAGCGCATCATGGCCTTCTCTGCGGAGTTATGCATAGCTTTGACGCAGAATGTTCGGTTGTACTTATTTTTAGACTGATATGCATCCATTTATGATATATTTTCATGATTTTTCGTACGAAATATTCTATGAAGACGCAGTCGAAAAAAATACAAAAGCGATGAAAAAGTAGTTGGATAGAAAGAATATGAACAAATATAAAATAAAAATATATTATACTGTTATATATATTATTATCTAATTTTTTTCATATTCATTTTTGTCCATCTATATCTTATAGCTATTTTATCTCGACTGAATTTTCGTAGTTTCTCTACATTATCCAGCATATCAGACTTTCATCTTAATTCAACAATTAATCGTTCTATTAAAGCAAATTTATAGTAATTATATTTATTATATAAATTATTTATTTCGTAAGAAAAATTATGAAAATATATGTAGTACACAACTATGAGAGGAATAATAAGCCACTGACAAGTTGCAGTATACCGGTAAGCAAAAACATTCAACGGAAATTAATGAACATTACGAAACTTAAAAGCAATCAAAACGAATTTAGTGCGAAAGGTAAAAAGTTTATTCGTTGTAGAAACCTGGATGGTGTTACTAGGACCTCATAAAGTATTATACTAATATACTGAGGTGTGACCTGAAGGCGTTTGAGAGCCATCGATTCTTGATTGATTGATAAAATATGACTTTTGATTTCTAATAAGGATAAAACAAATTCTCCGCTTTTTTACACTGGTTCAGATACTCTTTCAAGTAATAATAATAATAATATAATGATAATAATATAAATTTATTGAGAAACATTCCTTACATTGTAAATTTACATTAATTTCAATTGATACAATAATTACAACTAAGAGAAATGCTCTCAAAAGGACCGAATTCAGTTTGGAGTCTGATCTTGCATTCAGACCTCGAGCAAAAGTATTGGTTCAAACAAAAATCTTGATTAAATTCATATTTACAATAATATATAACTCTGATTGAGAAGAAAAGAAAAAAATTTCCTCAGAGATATTTGTGCTGATTGCGTTCCACTATTTGATTGACTTCAAAGATATATTTGCATATATACGACTCAAATCTGAACAAAATCGGAAGTCGAGTGTAAAACAATTCAAAGCTGGTTTAATGAAAATTTCAAAAGTTGTGTTCAGTTCGATGACTCGCATACGCGGTAATTCATTTCAGCCAGTTAATCTAAATGATGTAAGGGCTTTTCATATACACTCACGCACCATTTGATGTAACTTTTAATCCAACAAATTTTGCGAAGTCATTGGAAATCGGATGAATTGATAATCGGTTAATCGTTAAAACTTGCTGCACGATTCCATTTAACTTTTATGCTAACAACGTTCGAGCCAAAATTCATAAATACTCATCGTACTGGAATGATTAATGAGTACAATGTTGGAAAATCATTCTCACTCGGATATTCGATGAATACCTTAGCACAATTTGGAAATTAGTTGGCACAATCTAGAAATTAGAAGGAGGAAGTTGGCAAGTAAGAGAGTTAAAGTGAAGGTTTCATTAACTTCATCATTTGATCTTTACACAGAATATCATGCAACACCGACTGTAAAAATTTATGAAATTTTTGCTTCTTCATTGAAATCTTCAAAAACACACTATAACAATTCAAAAAGATTCAATTCGGAAAAGGGCGTAAATATGAAAAAAAATTGTCGGGAGAGCTTGCATTTGGAAGAATTTAATAGCAAGGTCTATGAATCTGGAGATGACAAAAAAAACTTCTGAAAAGAAAGTCAACACATGTCAGTCTTACGCTTTCGAGGTCTTCAGATTGGGAGATGTGGTCAACTGCTCGTCGTGACTATCTCAATCACTAGCTGTACCTCGAAACCAAGAAAATGAATAATAAATGAAATTTCATAAATGGCTCTACATTTTCAGATTTATAACACGTTGTATTACTTTTTTCGTCATCCGTTGTTCAGAATGAATAAATTTTACTTTATTCTCTAAATAAGTGTAAAGCATAAGTTCAAGTGTCTTCAATTCAAGTTTATATTCAATTATAATGGATTTAGATCAAGTAAACGCCAACACTATTGAATGTATAATATAAAAATGAATCGCAAATATGTTGGTAATCGCATAGTTCAACAACGCCTGGACTAATTTTGCAAATTTTTTTTTGAGATGTTCGCTGAAGCTGATGATGGTTTCTACGGCGAGGAATTGAAATTATTGCTGGAGAAACCCTGAAAACACCCCATTTCTTCTTCCCATACAAACGTTTTCTAACTTAAATGTAGAGTGAACGGCTAGACCGATTTCACAATTTTTTGTTATGTTTGTTATTGTTATGAAAAACATTTAAAAAATTGCGTGTAAAATAAGAAAATTTGAGAATACTTAATTGATGATATAAGTAAGAAATAAAAATTAATTCTGTCAAAAAGAGGATGTTAAAAAACTGAATATCTAATCACACATCTCGGTTACTTCAGACTGTTACTATCACGACTGATATTGAAACTTCAATTTAATATAAAATTTGGATAAGTATGAATAGACTGACATACACGTTACTAACATAGCACGTGGTTTATTTGATTATAAGGAAGAATACTTAGTTTTCTTAAATTTACAGTTGAAATTTCGTTTTTAATAATGATGGCTATTAGATATACAAACTCAAGTTGCAGAACTCGCAATGCAGCAAGTCAAAGATATAAAAAAGCATGTCAAACTGATGAGTAATGCGAAGATCGAAGTGAAGTTGAACGGAATCGATGAAATCGATGGAATCGAAATTATAATATGAAAAGGTTGCAATTAATTTAATAGACCTGCATTCAATTATAACGTTTAATATATTACAGTTCATAGCAAATCGTCTCTATTGGACCAATGGACGTTGTGTGTCAATATTGCAAGACAAAGTTTAATTGTAGTTGATAAGAAAATACTACCAATGATGCGACAAAATATTGCGCGCAGTGTCCATTCAAATGACGCTTTTGCTACAAGAGCCCACTATATTCATTGGTTTCCGGGAATCAACTAAATTTAGAGTATTTTTTGACTTATATCCAGTAAATTTCTCATATAATTAATGATGAGAGATAATGGGCAATTACTTAATACGACATTAAAAACAGGCCGTTAAACTATAGAACGTACATGTTAATAACTTTCATTATATCGAACGTGTTAAAATGAGAATTTTTGGATTATTCGACTGATTTGAAATAACAGGAAGTATTGCAGTTCCTTCGTAAGTGAGCCAGTACCTGGCTCCACACGGGATAAAAAATGAAAACAAGATAGTCTAGCACAAATAGTTGACCACGTCTTTCCGGCTTTTTGAAAATTATTCAGAGAAAAATGAATCGGTGTACAAAATTCACCGGGTCATCTAGTAAAAAATAAAAAAACCGGAATATTTTAAGAATAAATGGAGTGGAATTCTAATCCCAAAGAGAAAAAAGCCGTTCCCTGAGTGAAAAACATTTTCACTTGAGAACAAGTAATAGATAATTAATCGAAACTTCGTGTGAATTAGATTTCTGATCCGATCATCCGACTTTTTATCAGCAGTAAGTGTTCATTAATTTAACTTCATTCAAACTCATTTTGTTTGTATTTGTATTTGTTATTTCTATATCAGTCCTCAGAACATTCTTCATTGATTATTTCCGTTTTCTTT